CGGCAGCATTTGTGCCCTGGTCTAGGTCACGCTGCACCTATGCCCTGGCCTAGGTCCAGCAGCATCTTTGCCCTGGGCTAGTTTCGGAACAACCTATGCCCTGGCCTAGGTCCGACTGCATGTATGTTCTGACCTAGGTCCGGCAGTATCTATGCCCTGAGCTAGGTTCGGCAGCATCTATGCTCCGGCCTAGTTCCGCCAGCACCTGTGATCCTAGGTCCGGCAGTATCTATGCTCTGGTCCTCTGACTGTCGTTTGGCCGTTTCCGCTATAGCTTACCTCTGGTGATTGCTGCTACTCTTAATCAAACAAAACGTAAACACGTGACTTTAAATCTGCTCTATTTAACAGTTCAATTTTAACTACCCTCCCAAATATGTTAAAAGGGTACCTGGTGAAGAAAACTTTTTAAAACCTAAGTTGTTCGTCATCGCCGTTTCAGCTTCTGTTTTCGACCGAGGCAAACTAAAAATAGATTCCAGCCATAAATCTAAGTTTATTATAACAGAAAGCAAGAATCGAGCAGAATGTAAATTGTATTTTGCCAGTCTTTCAAATAATAAGGACGGTCTTCCTGTTTTTGAATAGTTGTTTCTTCTTCTTCTTCTTCTTCTTCTTCGTCGTCGTCGTCGTCGGCGTCGTATTGCCGTTTTCTTTCATGACGTTAGCAATCACCTCTCTCCACAATGGCCTGTCCTTTGTAGCTCTTAATAAATTGTCTTTTTGTTATCTTTCCTAAGACCTGTTATGCCATCAATTTACTCAAGCTTGCTAGGTTGGTTATGCGTTGTTTTACCCATGCCTTCAATCTGTCCTGTGCATGTTAAATTTTCTAAGCGCTCTTTCCTCATTATGTATCCGAGACATTTCTACTGTCTGTTTCTGATGTTAAGTATAATTGTATGTTTCTTTTTTGTTTCCATTTTCCTTAAAATTTCATCGTTTTTCGACCCAGGTCCATATTATTCTCAGCATTCTTCTGTAGAACCAAATCATCTTTTCAAATTCCGAACTTTTGGCCCCATTAGAAAGTATCTCAGGCACGAGGCAAGCATTGGCGTGAATTTTATTAACGTTACATAAGATTGTAACTAATCCTTCAAGTAGATATTTGCCTATATGTTATGCCTACGAGTTCCTATTTCTCGTTGGACGCTCCATGTGCACAGCTCAGATTACTATGTTTCTCGCCAGTCTAAAATTACACTAAGACGGGAGAGCAGATTTAAACTATTGCAGACACTTACACAGAATATTAGATTTCCTTTTCAATTCTGTCACCCTTTCAATATATTTTCCCTCAATTTTTCCCCCTTCAAGTAGGGCGCTCAGCCCACTAAGTTTGGCAAGTGTTGCATAGTTTTGTAATGGACACCAGCATATTTTTAAAGTCAGAAACAAATAAATAACAGGAGTCAAACAAATAGTAACTAATGGTAGAACCAAGAAAGACTTTTCGAAATGGGGCACACAAATCAGTTCCTACATACATAGATAAATTAACAAACACATACACACACTTGATGCGCCTAAGTCTATGAATACACATCTACATACAAGATTTATAGTCTCATAACGCGAATTTGTTTCAAACAATTTTTGTCAAATTTTAAACGATTAATGTAGACATCAAAACAAAGCTTGAGTTAAAGTTTTAGGCAGTTTTATTAAAGTTATTAGATTTATTAAAAATGGTAGTCTGAAGTTATTATGCAAAACCAGTAAATCACTTTTTACTTCAATAACAATCTAATAAAATCACGAATAATTGATCAACGCCTATAATAGAACGAATAACACACATATATCTTTGAGTCTTTGAATTCATTACAACTTAATATAGTGATCCTCCTTCTCAATAATAACCAACAATCTATTATTCTTTGATTTCGTTAAGTTTCTTACTTCAACAGTAGGTTCAATTTTTAAAATGGTGGTCTTCTTTGCTGTCATATTGTTTGCCATCTTCATATGATTTCATCTTTAAAATTGACCAGATGCGGACTTGTTAGCGGCCATTCCTTTATTCTCTCTCTTGTAAATCTTTTTTGTTCAAAGAATTCACGAGTAAGCTTAGATACATGAGAAGAAGCATTGTCATGCATAAATACACATTTCACTTTGAAACTGCGAGACTGGGACTTGTACAATGAAAAGAAACTCTGGTTCATAAAATTGCAATAGTTAACATTGTTCAGTTTAACTCGAATTTGAATGGTTCGATATTGTTTAGTTCAATCGGTTAAAATTCGACAAAAATGTTAAAAGCAAATTCGGTTTATTGAGGTTTATTTGATTAGCATAACTTCAAACGGACTGTATGTATGTACGTATATATAAATATTGGGTGTATATGCACACACACACACACACACACACACACACACACACACACACACACATATATATATATATATATATATATATATATATATATATATATATATTAGCCTCATCCTCATGTAAAGAAAGACTAAAAATAATGCAAGCTCTAATAATAAAAAAGAAAAAGCCAACACTCAATAAGATTGACTATGAACACGGTCAGCATATTCTGGCCGTGTTCAGGAAATAAAACATGCCTATAACTCTAGACACATACATAGACAGAATACATTCAATTAAAATAAAAAATAAAAACCGCCCTTGATAATGGCT